TAAGAGACACTTTGAGGAAGCGGTCTTTGATTTGTGACATTATTTTATGTTGGTAGACAATGATTTTGTGATGGAGACTTGGCGTCGCGCAGATGACCTACATAATTGGAGTCCAGGAAATTAGAACTATTTTCATATTTGATGAGTCCCCATAATAACAAACCATGACATTATTAGTATATTTTGTCCAAATTGATATATTTCCTTGTTCTGTATCAATTTTTAATTCATAAATATGGGCACACAAAATAACAACTTCATATTTTATGCAATTATGCATATTCCTATAAAAAAGACAGTATTCCTGCATATAGAGTATTAAGGAAATGACTTTCAATTCATTACAGTATAAAAGGAACTTTGTGATAAGAGGTGTGCTGTTTTTCCCCATTGGAATACCTATATCACTTCATGATATAATCAGCATTAAAAACAAATATTAAAAAGCAGAGACATCATGGTTTAATGAGCCTCACAAATGATTGAAAATAGTGTTAACATTTATGAAAAAGTTTGTTTTAAATATATTATGAATTTAAATGTATTATTTAGGTCAGTTAATTAGCTTTAGCTTGATGCAGTTAAAAAATAATAATCCAAGATGTCATTAAATTACACCAATTTCCATTTTCCAGAGTTACAAACCCTGTCAGGGGCAGATAACTTAACCTTTCCTGTAAGACATATATAAAGATAAAAGGTTTACATAGTAAAGTTCAAAACAGTCTTCCATTTTCTTGTTTTAAAAGTACTCTCCTCTGCCATAACTATGTAACACCTAGGTATATCTTAGTTCTATTATATTTCCATGTTTAAAATTATTCACTTATCAAAAAATAATTTTTATTTGGCCATGCTAAAGAAGATTGTTGGTTTCCCCTAACCCTGCATGGTCTGATTCAATAGATGAAAAAAGAACAAGACTCTCTTTTAAGACAATTATCAATGACACTTTGATTGTCTGATAATTTCTTTTAAAAAGTTTCATTTGTCATTCTTTAATAAAAGTTGAAATAGCTTATATCACAATATAGATCAAGATATAATGTCAAACAAATTTTTTTCTCTCAAGAATTTCCTGTCATTTTAAGAAAAAATTATCAGTAGAGCAAAACTGCATGTCAGCGCCTCGTTTTATTTTTGGCAAAAAAAAAAAAAAGGTATACAGTAATAAAAAGTTTTTCTTGCCTATCAACACTTTAATATTTTCTTGTGCAAGGAGAAACCAACATTCAATTTTCATGGCCTTGTAGAAATCATTTCCTTAAAGGTAGAGGAGGAAATATATCTTATAATATTCAGTAAGCAGATTCAAAATATTTTATCTTTGTAAACACAATAACGAGTTGAATAGGTGTTTTAATTACTGTTCAGTTCTGGATTGCACAATGATCATGTGTCATCGTGGTTTAGTATTTAAAACATTTTGAAAAAAAAATAAGACTATAAAAAGACAACAACATCCTGGATTACTGCAGGGAAATACTTTATTCTGGTCTACATGTTTTTGAAAAAAAGTTTGAAACTTATTATAAACAATAACAGATCACCAAAAAAAACTGGTGCACACTGCATAATTTTTAACTATTAAACAATCTAGCTAAACAACCAATCAATTACATTCCAATTATCTATATTATGATTATATAATGTAGATTTGTAGTACTGCTGCTTCAAATTTAAGTAATTAGTGCTTGTACCATAATACATGTATATTGTCCTTTCTAACAAATTCTTAAGTATATATTGATGGTATATATTTCTGTCTGGACATGAATTTATTTACGTAATGATTATATCCTGTATAATCATAAAAAAAAATATATTTGTAAACCTCTGCTATTTGGTCTCTTGTGGAGAGTTGTCTCATTGGCAATCATATCACATCTTCTTATTTTCATAAGGACATTATGAGCAGAAATAGAATTTAAAATAATATCATAATTACAGGTTTTTAACCCTTGATAAAGCTCATATGTTACTTCAACCAATATATTCAGCTGCATAATCAAAAACATTAAAGGGACAAGAAGACATGTATGTTGTACAGTTACACCACTGTCCCAGGTTAGGGGGAGGGTTGGCGCCTTCAAACATGATTAACCCCGCCACATTCTATGTCATATTTGTTTTTCATAAATTGTTTAACTTTTGTTAAAATTTAGGCAGTTAGTATTCTCAATTGAATTGTTTCATATTTTTCATTTGAGGCCTTTTATAGCTGACTTTAAGGTATGGGTTTTTCTCATTGTTGAAGGCCGTACAGGTGCCTATAATTGCATAAATCCACTTCAATTGAACTTTAGTGGATAGTTGTCTCATTGGCAATCATGCCATATTTCCTTTATTATATGTTTTACATTTGTCTTGGATAATGACTGAATAATATGTTGTAAGTCTTTGAGAACAAAAGTATACTAAATGTTCCAGACTTATATTAGTCACTGGGATCAAATAGCAGACTGTAAATATTAGGTTTAACCACAGAAGTGTTATATTGACTATATTACTTCCATTGTAAAGCATAAAAAAGACCCACTGTGGTTTTGTGCTGGTCATGAGTGTATCATATGATGTCATGGGCTAGATACCTGTCTAAGCTTTTAAAAGATGGAACTTGTGTTTCTCTGCTTCTCACACAGTATTTAAGAGAAAGAGAAAAGAATGGACTGTTTAGAGTAAGAATAATGTGTCCAGGAATGGTGAAAATAACTATTTCTGAAGACCTTTCAAGCTAGCACATTTTCATCTAACTTGTTCATGTTCGTTTTGTTAAAAAAACAGGGTACATACCTATGACTTTATAAACATTATTATCAAGATTATGACTTTATAAACATTATCATCAAGATTATGACTTTATAAACATTATTATCAAGATTATGACTTTATAAACATTATTATCAAGATTATGACTTTATAAACATTATTATCAAGATTATGACTTTATAAACATTATTTTCAAGATTATGACTTTATAAACATTATTTTCAAGATTATGACTTTATAAACATTATTATCAAGATTATGACTTCATAAACATTATTTTCAAGATTATGACTTTATAAACATTATTATCAAGATTATGACTTTATAAACATTATTATCAAGATTATGACTTTATAAACATTATTTTCAAGATTATGACTTTAAAAACATTATTATCAAGATTAAACAAGGAATTAATAGAATCTGGAATAATTTTGAATTCTGGAAAATTGATACGAAAATTATGATGAAAACTAACCCAACTAATTAGGGTTAGCCATGCGCATGGCTAAGGTTAATTTTACTTTCACTGATATTTCAGTATGAACTAACTAACCCCCTTAGCCATGTGTGCATGGCTAACCCTATTTAGTTGGATTAGTTTTTATCTTACATTTCTTATCAATTTTCCAGAATTCAAAATTATTCCAGATTCAAATAATTCCTTGTTATTATGACTTTATAAACATTATTATCAAGATTATGCATGTAATAAGTCCACTGGACCTTAAATACCTATCAATAATTGAAGCAACAATGCATCCTATGTCCTGCTAAGCATACTCCCACTCATAATTCAAAACATATTGAAAAATACAAAGAATAGATTAACAGGAAGTAGGCGTCTGACAAATCAGAAAAAAAATCCCAATTTACAACTCATCACTGTGAAGCTGCTGACCAAGTATGAAGTCTTTCTGTTAAGTATTACTTGAGCAAAGTGTGACGAAAATTTTAAGTCCATTCAACATATTCAATAATACGTCCCGTAAACGGGCGTATAAAAATTCAAACTATCCACAAAGGAAATAGGAATCTGATAGATCCAAAAAGAGCTCAAACCTTACAGCTAATCCCTGCTAAGCTGCTGACCAAATATTAAGTCATTCTTTTCAGTAGAACTTAAGAAAAGTGTGACGAAAAATAATAAGTTCATTTAACATATATTGAAAAATTCAAAGTAGCGACAAAAGGTAGTAGGTGTCCAACAGATCCTAAAAGAGCTCACACTTTACAACTCATCACTGCCAATCTGCTGACCCAATATAATGGTATTTAATACAGTAGTAACTGAGAATAGTGTGACAGAAATATTTGTCGGATGAATCAGTGGATAGTCAGACCGGCAAGGTAATTGTAAAATAGCCCCCACTTTTAGAATTGAGGTATAAAAAGGATTACTTATATATTCTTGACATAAGACATCTGTATATAAAGTACAAATTGTTTATAAGTCTTATTAGGCAATATACAATTAGTTCAGGCCATTGCTTTACCCCTTCTGGATTAGATTTTGTATATTTGTATGTATCACCTTTTCCAACAAAGCATTAATATATTACCTTTATTCCTCTAACCCTTGAGAATGAGGGGATTTTATAAAACACACTGACTGTCTCTGAAACAATACTAGGGTAGTACAAAAAATTAGTAAGTACTTGTAACTATTGTTATATGATACTTTGCCATGTTAGTCAATCATTCATAAAAATGGACTTCTGATTAGGAAAAATAATCTTTAAAATTTTTCATTTTGAAAACAAGTACTGGTATGTAATGTTGAACAAAGTACAAATTTTCTATAGGGTAATAGGCAGACTTCTGCAAAACCATGAATTCAAATATCCACAAAATTAAATTTCTTAATCTGCAAAATTGGGATCCACGAAAATTTAATAAATCAACAGATGGTAAAATTATTTTTCAACCCACAATTTTATATCTAGTTAAGAAAGGCTTTAGATGAGTATCAAGCTAAAGACATGTTAAAGGATGTACATGAGATTGAGGGATTGTCACTTCAATGGAAGTCAAAAATTTATAAACACAAAACTATTTTTTATCTCTTCTCATTGAAAATATATTGACAAATTTAGAGTGTGGAGGGGGGGTTATGGTGCTACATATATGGTTGACACATAGAATTTTCTTTTTATAAATCCACTCCTAATGTTGACTTGTTGGCCTCCCTCCTTTTTTTAAAAAACCCTGTATTTGCATCTAATACTCACATTCAGTTCGTACTGTGGTGGTACCCACTATGGCAACATTGTCCCAAACATTCTTGGTAAAATTAGGATTCCTCAGGTTACACAAATAAGGACTGTCAAATGTTGTTGTAATCAATGTACTTAACTTTAGTGAAGTACTATTTAGGATAGTTGTTTCTGTATCTGGAACATCTATATCACTTCCATATGAAAACCACAGTTTTGATGAGTTGTCTCCATTTTCAACAGTTTGTGATGATAATGTACAAGTTATATTTAAGTATTCACCAACAAACAAATATGGGTCACTTTGGTCCAGCTCTACAATTAAATAAAATGAAATGGAGTGTATGCAAGGATCTATAAACAAATATGGGTCACTTTGGTCCAGTTCTACAATTAAATAAAATTAAATGGAAAGTACGCAAGGATCTATAAACGAATATGGGTCACTTTGGTCCAGTTCTACAATTTAATAAAATTAAATGGAGTGTACGTAAGGATCTATAAACAAATATGGGTCACTTTGGTCCAGCTCTGAAATTAAACAAATTCAAATGGAGTGTACATAAGGATCTATAAACAAATATGGGTCACTTTGGTCCAGCTCTGAAATTAAACAAAATGAAATGGAGTGTACGTAAGGATCTATAAACAAATATGGGTCACTTTGGTCCAGTTTTACAACTAAACAAAATGAAATGGAGTGTATGTAAGGATCTATAAACAAATATGGGTCACTTTGGTCCAGGTCTGAAATTAAATACAAGAGTGCATACGCTGAAATGCCTTGCCTACTATATTGACCATTGATTTTATGTTGATAGTCCTAAATATAAAGTTTTACAACAAGTATCACATTAACATTTATGATCCAAGAAAATGAGGTCATGGTCAGAAAAACCAAGCCTGAAATACATGTTCACAATTAATACAATAATTCCATACACCGAATATAGATGACCTATTGCTTATACATTGTAGTATAAAAGAAACAGACCAAACCATGGAAATTCTATATTTACCAATGACAAATGAAAATGAGGTCAAGGTCAGATGAACCCTGCCAGACAGATATGTACAATTTAAAATCATTCCATGCATCAAATATAGTTGACCTTTTGCTTATAGTATCTAAGAAACAAAGTTAACCAGGAAAACTGAACATTGACCAATGAACCATGAAAATGAGGTGATGGTCAGATGATATCTGCCAGACAGACATATACACCTTACAATCATTCCATACACCAAATATAGTTGACCTATTGCTTAAAGTTTAAGAAAAACAGACCAAAACACAAAAACTTAACATTGAGCAATGAACCATGAAAATGAGGTCAAGGTCAAATAAAACCTGCCAGACTGACATGTACATCCTAAAATATTTCCATACACCAAACATAGTTGACCTAATGCATACAGTATTAGAAAAACAGACCAAGACACAATAACTTAACATTGAGCAATGAAGTGTGAATATGAGGTCAAGGTCAAATAAAACCTGCCAGACTAACATGTGACAAAAACTTAACTTTTACCACTGAACCATGAAAATGAGGTCAAGGACAATGGACATATGACAGACGGAAACTTCATATCATAAGGCATTTATAGACAAAGTATGAAGTATCCAGGTCTTCTACCTTCTGAAATATTAAGCTTTTAAGAAGTTAGTTAATGCCTCTGCCCCCGCCGCCGGGTCACTATCCCTAAGTCGAGCTTTCTGCAACCGAAAGTCGCAGGCTCGACAAAAATGAAATGGAGTGTACGTAAGGATCTATAAACAAATATGGGTCACTTTGGTCCAGTTCTACAACTAAACAAAATGAAATGGAGTGTATGTAAGGATCTATAAACAAATATGGGTCACTTTGGTCCAGTTCAACAATTAAATAAAATGAAATGGAGTGTACATAAGGATCTATAAACAAATAAAGGTCACTTTGGTCCAGTTCTACAATTAAATAAAATTAATCTATTTTCAATAGGAAAGAGAGATTCTGCTTATAGGGAAATTAATACAGTTTCCAATTCTGTTGTTAATTCGAGATGAGATCTTTGATTAACATAGTGCTTGTTTTTCAAGAGAGAAAAAAAGTTTGAAATTTTGAATTCTTGATATATTTTTTCTGATAACTTAAAAATTTTCTAAATTTGGATTTTTTTAAAATTAGCAATTAAATAGTCAAATTCGGTTTATTTGAAAGCTCTGATCAACATGATCAATGTGCATAAGGAAAAAATAAAATCACAAGTCAAGCAGTATTGTTTCATTTCAAAAAATTGATAAAAATTTCGTATACCAGCCAAAATAAGTTAATTTTACAAACCTCTACTGAGCAGTTTTACAGGGTTCTTTTATTATTATTTTTCTGGAATTTTTTTATATCAGTCAGTTTTCAGTGTGCATTTTGATATAAATGCTTAAAAAATATGTGTTATCATGCTTATCTTAAATATTAAACTCTTGACACAGAGATATGTCTCACCTGTTGGCATAAAATTCAGAAAAAGACAATCTGATGGACAGCAACATTGCTAATTAATTCAAAGTCGATGGACCATGACCTAGTGGGCAGGGCCTGGAAATAGTTGTCAAACTGATATGTACTGATAGTAATGCATCTTTATAGAAAATATCATTGATCTATAACAAATATAAATAAGAAGATGTGGTATGAGTGCCAATGAGACAACTTTCCATCCAAGTCACAATGTATAATCAAAGTACTGAAGTACTGAACATCGGATGACCGCAGGTTCTTGTGGATGGTCAAAAGCACATGTCACAGAAACAGATCACATCTCTATACCAGAAACTGAGATTAATTTACAGAGATATTTTTTTCTGATACAAGATCGTGCTTGGATGATGAATAAATGACAGGTAATTCAACCTCACCGTAATAACTATTATATTGTAGTGATACAAATCAGTATACCTTGGACTATTATACTAATATAATAATAGTCCCAGAGAATACACTGGTTTGTTGTATATATTATATTAATATTACGGTTGCATGTATATATAATTTTCATCTATTTGTATATCATTCTATTCTACTATTATTATAGTGCAGTGTAAGTGCATGGTGGACACTCTTCTGTAAAAAAATCAAAGCCTTAAAGGCTGTAAAAGCAATTGCTGCCATGTTAATGTTTTGGGGACTTTTATTTTTCATCCACATATATAAGAATTAAACCTGACAGGACAGGAGTGTTGTCTAGTGAGAAGCAAGAAGGTTTTAACTTTATATCAATAAAAGACTTTAGCAGGAAATCATTTTTAATATGTTTTATATTTCACAAGGAGACAAGAAGTTTACCAGGTTAAGTTGGGGTTAATTATACATGTGCTGAAACATATAACTCAAAGAGAAATCATTATGGATTATCCCCTGGTAGTGTTTGTAACTGGGCAATAATTTCCTTTATTGATTTAATTTTAACAATTTTCATAATTAATTTAAATCAACCATTCAGTTAAAACATTTCAACTTTCCAGACGCAAATGTTGAAAAACGGGACAGAAATAAAATATCTTACAAGACATAAACATGTAAAAAATAATATATATTTCAGCTTACTAAAAATATTTTTATAATGTTACTTTGACATCATTTCTTAAAACTAAGTCCCGAACATAATTGCTCAGTTGATATGTGTCATCCTCATGCGATACGAGATAACTATAATTCTGATGCAATCCCGAAAAGGGGGGTCATCACAGACAAACATGACATTAAATCGTCATTATACGAACAAGAACGAACAGCTCTATGTTGCTTTGATATTTATTAATTTTCAGGAAACATTGCGAAAAATTATCTTGTTAAATGTGTTACCTTCGTTAAATAAAGAATTTTATTATTATTATTATTATTATCTTCAATATTTCGAAAACATGTGAAATAAATTTCAGGTCCATTTCATTAGTAAGGGGAGTCAGTTAGTTTGTCTATTTTTAGATTACAGGTAATCATTTGACACTACGTATAACCTGTGTGACCTGTGTAGTGATTTTGATTTTACGATAATTTTATGAATGAACAAGAGCACCTGACCTCTTTCGTAAACACCAATTAAACATATAAAACCGTATTTAATAAGAGATAATTCAGTCAAATTTTCAGCACTAAATCAACAACTGAAATGATTCCATATTTTGTTGAAACATCGTACGAACGGAGAACGGAATCGCAGGTATAAAAATGCACTTTTTTCACTTGTAATGACCGCGGATCTATAATTTTTATAGATCGGTTGAAAACCCAAAACTAATTTGCATAATGGAAATTTAGGCGATAGCAATACATCGAAATGACCTTACGGTCATCGCGATGTAAAAAGTTAACAATTATATAAGTACGGCCTTCAATATGGTTCTATCAAACTAACTAAAGCAGAAAACTTAACATTTAAAATTGCTAATTTATTCAAAGTCACTAGACCATAACCTAGGGGACAGGGCCTATAAATAGTCATCAAACTGATATGTACTGATAGTAATGCAACTTCATACAAAATATCATTGATCTATCACAAGTAGTTCATATCAAACTAAATTAATCAGTCATCGTCGTCCCTGGAAAAGCAATCCCTATGTCTCGCTTTCCGCGACTTTCCTAGAAGGAAAGACAAAAACTCTTTCAATTGTTCTTGTAAATGCTTGTCCCTATTGTTGCCTTATTATTTGCTGAAAAAATCAATTTCCAATATCAAAAAGAGTTTAACAATGTCTCTAGCCAAATTCTTGGGGCAATACAAAATAGCACAATTATGAGCAAATACAATTATTTGTTTTGGTTTTTTTAAACACACACACAACAAAACATTTTTAAAGTAACTCATTGGAGGGGAAGTTTTGCAATGAATTATTTTTTTTAATTTCAGCCATGTGATTTGATTTGATTTCCTTATCCTTATTCCCCATTATAAACACAACCATAGTTACAACCAGACACTGAATATTGGATTTCCTTTAAAACCTATCAAAACATTATACCTATATATCGTACAAGAAAATATTTACTGGCTGAATGATTGTATTTTACATACTGTAGCAACTGTATAAATGAGGAACTTATCACTAGTCATTATTTGTATGAAATATGTATTAATATAATATTATTATAAAACAATCAAAACTTAAATGAAACAAAACCATAATTATTATATTAAATAAAAAGGCCACTTTTTTAGCCCCTTTGAATTTGTAAATAAAAAAGTAGTATAAATCTATAGATAATTAATTTCTGTTTCATTTAAAATAACTTCCCACTCCCCACCAAAAAAAACAACACAAATTGGTCAGCCTTCTTTTTCTGAAAAATATTGAAGATATTGCAGATGTAACCCTTTGATATAAATTTTCTAAAATCTAATGAAAATTGTGTTGTGAAACACTTACAATGTACTATGTCCCATGGATGGATATCCCATATCTCCAAACCCATTTCATAACTGGGACTATTTTATTTTTTTTCTATCATCACAACATACATTCTGCACTAAAGTTTACAGACTATATTAACCTATTCATTAATCAATTGATTATACATAATCAAAACTATTTTTCAAAGGATTGAATAATTTTACTATTTGAGAAATTTCAGGGGTCAGATAAGGTTCCTATCAAAACTCCTCTTTCAAAAGAAAAAAATTTTGTTTTATATGTTCTCATCATAAGAATATATGAATCCTTTGTATCGATTATGTAAATTTACACAAAAAACACAACATTTTATATTTCGTAGTTTCCAAAAAAATAGTTTTGTTAAACTTTACGTACCTCCGCATTCACAGCAACCCCAGCAACCACTGACAAAATCGTCCTGTACAAACCCATTCAAAAACATACAAAGCAGGATTACATACTTCATTGCAAGTCCTGAAACAGATATTTTGTTGTTATTAGAGGTAAACTGAGATTGTCTTATATTTCTTATGACAAAACATAAATAAAAGCAAGGTCTGGCATAAATTCTGTTATTCAAGGATATGAAAAAAGGAGTCCCCTTTATTTGTCTATGCTGTCCAAATCATTCAAGTATGAAGTATGAGTAATAAATTAAAAAAAAACATGAAAAACTATAATTTTTGTGTGATCACTTTACAACATTGGACTTTATTTTGTTCTTTTGACACCTTTTTTCAATCTACATCTTGAGACAAATCTAATTTTACGGCAAAAAACAAATAGGGTGACCCCACAAATATTTCCATAACATTAGAACAGAAATGTTTACAGCAATAACATGTCAAACAAAATTCTATGGTAAGATTTGAGTGAAATCACAATATAAAGTGAAACTAGATGTGTCAGAACGACACAAATGGGGGAGCTTGCAAAAAAAGCTTGAAGCCATATTTAGGAATGGAAATTTGAGAATGAAAGTCTGTATAACTGTTATTTTCAAAAAAATTTCAAAGTAAAAAAAAAAAGTAATTTCAGCACAAATCAATGGAGCGGAACCAAACGTTAACTCGATCCATAACTCATCATAGAAGACTCACATATGTGAAGGCTTTTAGAAAAAAGTCTGTATAACTGCTATTTTCATGAAATGTTCAAATTCCAAAGCCTGTAATTTTAGCAAAAATCAATGGAGCAGACAACTTTGTTGCGCGGCCATAAAAAACATATATCTTCTCTGTCTTTTACGAGCAGTCTATACATGTATATGTATTGACATTTTTGACAAATTTTCAATTGATTGTATCTCCAGAAGTATAAATACTACATTTATCATTTTTTGGTATTCGACTGCAGTTCAAAGAGGTCTAAATGCATACGAAATTTGATCATATACTTTGCCTTTTTTTACTAAAAAAAAAAGTTTTTCATTAGAACTTGTATCAAGAGTTAATCAGCAGACAGCAGAAATTCAAAAAAAACTTCTCAGTACAAGATCTGTTGTATTTTTTAATGGGTGCTTTTGAATGTGGCAAATCATTTTCTATACCTTCCAATTCTCCAAAATCCTCATGGTGAATATGAAGTCAGTTTGAAGAAGACTAACCAAAACATTTATTATGCATCTAAAATGTAACTTATCTGGTTGACAAGGCTTTGACCAGACCTCATGAATTTAGACCTTGAAAATTAACTGGGGATATGTTCACATATTCACTAACTATTGTTGGATCTTAGTTGCAAATGGGTTTAGATTCTGATTTTGATTTCAGGTACTGAACACATATATTTTTCATCATGATTTATAGTGGTACATAAAACATTAAAATGAACATTGTTAGAAGTTGAAATGATAATTTTGTGCAAAAATTAGGACACCGCTGGCTGCATTAGACAGGTGAGGGCTGAATAGAGTTACGTTATATAGAATAAAATTTGGGCAGGTCTAAAATTGACCGTTAGAGGCAGCTGACCGATTAAACAAGGTGACCATTAAGGTAGGTTTGACTATATATGATGCCCCTCTATCATTTTCAACAAGGTAGGAAGGATCTAAAATTTAAATATCATAATCTGCTTGCCAACAGTACATTTATGCGCCATATTTCCATTAAATCATACATATTGACCTCATGATTCATTCCTTGCATTTGGAGTAATACAGCCCATATGTCTGACTTCAACTTCTGTCATCAGCTATAAACTTGGCAAAATTAAAGCTACAAAGTGTGAAAACTTTATAATTTCTGGATAGCTATGTGATTGTACTGGTTGAAAACTTTGGTCGCTAATCATGCTAATACTAGGTGATTTTGCTATCTCTTGTAATGGTATTAATATTGAATCCAAAAATTTTGTAAAATATTTGGGAATAATAATTGCCATTCCTGTCAACTGACCTGTATTCTGCCGGTTACACCCATGAATTTCCCCTTTCCTTTCACATGGGATTTTTTAAATACCCGCTGGGTATTCAAATAACCTGGGATTTCAGAAAATGACCCGTTTTCACCCGTATTTCTAACCGGTATTGTGTCCAGTATTTAGAAGTCAAATATACGTTCAGTTTTATCGTTTTTTTTTCCTTTGAAAAGGTAAACATTTGAAAAGTCAAAACTTAGGATTTGCTTATTTACCGTGTGGATGACGCTATCAAAACATTACATTTGATTGAAAAGTAACAATTGTTGAAAAGTTGAAACCAGTCAAGCTTGACATACAATTCTGTGTCCTGATTAAAAGATTTGCTGTTTGCAAATATCATGAATATCCGGGGAATTATCCTATAAAAATAATTTTAAAACAATTTGAACCTTTTGATACATTTCTGTTGGAGGGAATAATTGTAATATCACTTAAATGTATTAGCTTTAAATCAAATCCATATGCTCTAGATATTACACTGAAAGGAAACACACCAACTTCCATCTATTTATCTTCCTCCTGCATATAGCACATTAGCTGTTATAATTGGTTTCTAATTACATGTATAGCTGGGGTTAATGACAGTCATTAATAAAAAGTAGTGTGAATAAAACAAAAAGAGGCCATTGCTATAGAAAGATATTTAATTAATGATAAATATCTATATAATTAAGTTAACTAGTATTTGCAGGAAACTCAGTCATACATGTATATTTTATATTATATAAAATAAATGGGGAATATGTCCATTGGACACAGATGATGCCCCTGCTTGCATAATACGCAATAAAGGGACATAACTCAAGAACAGTAAAAGTGACACTACCCAAATTTGTACTTGATCTGAGTTTTGTGGTAATAAGCATCATGTATAAGTTTCATAACATTTGGTTGAGGCAAACTTAAGTTAGAGAACAAAAAAACGAAAAGTTAGAGAATTGAAACGAAAAATTCAGCAATTTTTCCATTTGTAAAAGGTCATTACTCTAGAACGGTAAAAGTGACACCACCAAAATTCAAACTTGATCTGTGTTTTGTGGTAATAAGCATTGTGTATAAGTTTCATAACATTTGGTTGAGGCAAACTAAAGTTAGAGAACGGAAACCAATTTTGGGACATATGGACAGACAGACTGACAAGGGTAAAACTTAATGCCCCCTTCGCTAAGGTGGGGGCATAAAAACCGAAAATTGAACTGAAAAAAGTCTGTACGTATTACAACCTGACATTTTCTTCTTCGATGCAAGTCATGACCTGCATTTTCCGTTTCAGAGGTTGACAGGTATGAATTGATCAGTTTCTGACTGGTGATTTTAATGTCAATTCTATAGTGAAAAAAGTTAACATGATCAAAGGCTATATAGAAAAAGAGTGTCTAAATTTTTAATCTAGGAAAACATTGTGCTCTTCTCTGATTCAATGTCATTTTGATTCTGCATGTGCATGCTGGTATGCTGGTATGAAGGTATATCAAAACAAATGAAGAATAAATTTCAAGTGGCACAAAATAAGATTGTGAGATTTATTCTACAATTACATCCTAGAAATATATATATATTGAATTTGAAAAATTAGGTTTTTTAAATAAGATTCAAACAACTGAGACTCAATCATGTCTTCAATATTTATAACAATGTATGCCCAAATTATTTGCATACTAATTTTGTTAGAAATGAAACATCTTTTAACACAAGATCTAGCTAGTAACATAAATTCTTATATGTACCTGGAATTAAAGGTTGTAAATCTACCACTTTTTCTATAATGGAGTAAAAGATTGGAACTCTCTACCAGACATAGTTAAAAGTTACTCAAAGAAATATATTTTTAAAGTACAAGTTAAAAAAATTTTGATGGATAAATTTAAATCCATCTCTTATAGTGAATTTGTTTTTTTACTACTTTTATTGAGGCTTTGGAATGTTGAACCTTTATCTGTGATAATTTAAAATGATTTGTGTTGTTCATAAGTGTCAAGCTTGGTGTAAACTGATAGTATCTTCTTAATAGGACCCCACTGGAAATAAGTTTCATTAACTTGTATGGGTCATCCTTAAGGTATTAGGCTGCAGTGAAAATCTAGTCTTTTTAATAATATTAGTGTCTAGTCAAATATTAAAATAATGAAAATTTCCATAATTTTATCTTTAAAACTATAATTTTTAGTGCTCATAAATGTAAATCATTTTAATATCTGTAACTGTAAAATCCTATTCATGTCTATAGCTATATGCTATATTTGTATGTCATTTTACTTGTATTGTGTCTGTCAATTCCATGCCTTTTATCTTAAATAAATATTATTATTATTATTATTATTATTAAACATAATAAACATATATAGAGAGAAAAGGTGGGTCAGTTCCTCAAGCGCATATCACAAAACTTGGACAAGTTGTCGTGGACTTACCTATTTTTCGTTTCAAAAATTCTCACTTTTTATTTTATTAGAGATAACATCGCTCAATCTTCATGGTAAATTTAAAACTGTTATTGTGAAATATGGAAACATTAAAGCATGTCATTTTAGTTTAAATGACTCAAACGTGGTTACACTTCCTTCACTCAAAAAATCAAAGGTAAACATTTCTCGGAAATGGCCGGAAATATCTGATTAAAAGTCAAAACAACCTGGAGAATGATCCGTGTTTGCCTTATTTATTTTCTAATTTGTAGTGGTTTGTTTTTTGTTTAGTTTTTTTTTCGGTTTTTCACCTCGATGTTGATAGTACAACTTTGACTCATATGTTTTATTGCTTCTTGGTATCCTCAGATGTTTTTAAAGCTTTTTATAATATTACTACAAAAATGCTACACGTAAAATATCCCTTTTTAATCTAATAACTGCAGGTTTAATACTCAGAACATTTCCAAAAATAAATCTGTTTTTTTATATCTTTATTGACATGTTGTATATATTTTTAAATGACGAGGAAAACGATGAAATTTAAGGTAAACTGGGAAAACGATATTTACTCACGATTAAGAGAGAGAGAGAATCATGATGACTGCATGGATTAAAACAAAGAAAGTACTTACGAATAGAGATTGTTGACCTCCTCTCTGACTAACTGAGCAACAGTGCCGATGTTGTTTCTTTCATTGTATCATTAGGAAACGCTATATTTACAATATACTTTTAATATTATCCCAGTCTTTCCTGTTTCCGGCGCATTGTTATTGTATTATGAGTGCTGATACTCATATAAATGTTATCTGATGAGAACAAGTTCACTTTTGAAATATAAATAAGGAAATTATTGTAGCTGATTATAATTGATATATCAAATTAACATAAAGCAAAAATAAACAACGGTGTCTTTTGCATAAAAAGATAAGAAAAAACTCAAACATAATTTTTGTCTAGAAATTCAATGATTTTACGTAGGCTGCGTTTTTCAAGGGAACTTTTTTTTTTAATTTCATATAATAACAGATGATTACTAGTTAATATAGTGTTATTGAAACTGGATTGAAATATATTTCATGAAATGATTGAGAGTGTTGGTATTTCATGTGTTGACTATTTCAGATAAACCTGAATAAATGCATTGTGTTAACCAATGTGAAACTTTCGCCTGCTCAAATCAGATCTTAGAATAAAAAAAAAATATTTTGAACAACGGTAAGATATGAAAGGACGACAATTCCTGACTAAGGATAGGCACATACATGATCATACATATAACCAGTAGTAAATATAACAAACTTGAACAGTTAAAGTAGATAATCCAATCAAATAGGCACAACAGAAATAAAACAACCATTTGTTATAGTTCTCTATATATCTTACCCCAAAAATGATCTATCACAATTATTGAATACTAGCATGAAGCTTGATTTTAGAACACATGACCCTGATATACCCTGTCTTTTGTTTTTGTCCTCTGGTTTTGTAGTTTGTGATCTTGTACCTTCATGAATTTCACATCCCATCTTTTATGGTAATATTCTATACTAAGCACAAAAATGTCGTCACTTCACCCCAAAAGCTAACCAAAGCTATAAAAAGACTTATTCAGATGGGATAGAAACACGATACTGTTGTCAAGTCATTAAAGCCATGATGTCATTTTTTGGAATTAATATTGATTTACTCATAGGGTCTTTGCATTGGAAATAAACACATTTATTCTAAAACCAGTTGTTGGCATGATACGGGTTATGTCCTTCTCGTATATTTTATGATGGTATGATACTCAACTCCTAACGGGAGGAATTGTGCTTGATTTTCATATGATGAAAGCATAATCTTTCAATCAGTTTAATTGAGGTCTGGAGCTGGCATGTCAGTAACTGCCAGTAGTCCTTTGTTAATTTATGTTGATTATTGTCATTTTGCTTAGTTTCTTCTGTTACCTATTCTAACATCGCACTCGGGCGTCTTTTAAACTGAATTTTAATGTGCGTATTGCTGTGTGTTTGTTTATTCCACATTGGCTAGAGGTATAGGGAGGGGGTTGAGATCTCACAAAACATGTTTAACCCCGCCGCATTTTTGCGCCTGTCCCAAGTCAGGAACCTCTGGCCTTGTTATTCCTGTATGTTTTTTTAAATTTTGGTTCATTTATATGTTTCGGAGTTTAGTATGACGTCTACGTTAAAATAAATATATGTTGTCAATATTAGATTGAAGAAACACAAATCTTAAAAATGCAAAAATGTTGAAAGGAAATTATACACGCGGGATTCATGCGTTTCTATTTGATCCTATGTAATTTCACTAGGACCGATTAACTCGGAAAATCCCAACCGGACACTATACTTATCATGATCGTCTAGCCAAATATTTCTAACTTAAAAATAATGATTATTTGGATATTTTTTACCAAAATTTTCCTTTTACGTTCTGATACGAGTGGAAAATACTCCCATGATGCCACATTGACTATCTGTTGAATCCTAAGGGAAATAACATTTTCGTCTTATTTCATCTCATTTCATTTTGATAATTCTTATCTTTGAAACTGTTCAGTTTTTTTTTTCTGTTCTGTTGGTTTAATTTCTTCTTTAGAACGACATCCTCTATAAGGATTATAACGAGTTTTTATTGATGGTGATAATAGTTTCTTATAGGTTCCATGTATGGAAATTCACATTTACATATAAGGGATGTGTATGGTAAGCCGTTTTACTTTTTATTCCAAATTCAAGATATCTCATATAATAAATAAGATATCTTATTTAATCTAGTTTTTATAAGATATCTTATAAACTTTATAAGATATCTTATAAACTTTAAAAAACATATTTCGTTCAGATTGGACAAAAAAAATGGCTGATAAAGGGTTTTAATGTAATTCTAATCAGTGATCCTTTTTCACAATTATCCTCCTCTGAAAATAAAAGTGTTAATCTTTAAACTACACAGGAGTAATGAATTAGAGCTCTTAACATTTTTATCGGTGCATGATGATTGCATGTGTCACATACATGGCAGAAAATATGCCATATACAAGTGAAAACTTGACTTTGCAGGAATAAATATTTCTCGACAATTCCAATGCACGGAACAATATCCTGAAAATCCTGTAAGGAGTCAAGTTAGCTAACACGCTATCAAGTGAGTAACTAGGGTTAATAGAGTTGTACCGCGTGTCCATTTTTTAATATATTGGGAATATATTCACATGATCTTTAAAGCCTATCATCTTGACCTCTTTAGGTTTGGTTGACTCACAGGCACTTGTCTCGGAAAAAATATATAACACTTTAATATAACACAGTATATAGATAAAACAATTCATAGACAAGTGCATTAGGGTTGACTCCGTAAATATTCAGTATACATTCGACTATAATAACAACGTATGATTGTCATAGACATAACTATCCAACAGAGTCCAAAGGGTGTGGACGGAAGCAACAATCATCACCGTATGGCCTTCAACAATGAGTATAAACTGTTGACACAGAGATGCGTCTCGCCTGTATGTATTTTTGATAGTAAAATGCAAATGTTGATATTAAAATGGTAATTAATTCTTTAACATGAAACTGTAATTTCATTGCTGTATAACCAAAGTATTTCAAATACCGCACGGGAACCATACTTTACCTTCTTACACTCTAATACCGGCTAATGTAGTTTCCAAATTTCCAATATTGAAACGACATAAATAGTGCTTGAAAGGACTATTAAGTGCAAAAGAGAAAAGAAAAAAACGTATCAATACTTATCATCTGTCCCTTAAAGACAAGAAATGTTTCATATTTTTATGAAGTTAAGCAACAATGGTATAACTGTAATCATTGTCATTAAAATAAGTTTATATAGCCAAAAAAGAAATATTCACGGTTAAGTTTTTTTGGTTATTTGCTTCATTTACAGAACTGCACTTAAATCTGTGTAAGGTTTAATCTATAATACTGCATGAATGAAGAAACCTGTTTTAGTTTGTCGCTTCTCCAACTAACAGATCAAATTAACTAGTTTGGCTCTATGTCCTGGATTTAGCCTGCACATTGTGTTTTGTTATTCTCATTTTTCTGTATTCAGTTAGGATTATCTGGGGTAAAGTTTGGAAAGGAAAGTTATTTTGTAATTCCTTCTCGTATTCCGATCGGACTAATGTTAATAATTTGTTCCCCCGTGAACCCACGCAGTCAGAAAAAGATGTAATGAAAAATGAGCATTCGATATCCAAACAAAAACGCACCACAACGTATCTAAATGAGAAAAAAACTAAGATTGGTCCAAATACCATTCAAGAAGTTCAAACAAAAACGAACTACAATGTTCTTGAAGGAAATAAATGGTCTAAGGCTTGCAAAATTGAAATCATTTCAAAATCGAAATAATGCAATTGAACTTGACGAAACTAGTTTCAATCAACACGTGTAACTATCACAGGAATCTTATCAGCTGACAACGTGGAGTTTGAAAATACGCATAATAATCCAATTCCCAATCCGTCAATTTCATGGATGTATTTGGGTCTTTATGGTAAGGGAATGTTGTTTTTATGTTAAGGGAATGTTGTCTTTATGGTAAGGGAATGTTGTCTTTATGGTAAGGGAATGTTGTCTTTATCAAATTCATGTTATGGGAATCATACCTGCTTAACAAGTCTCTGTATTTGTGGGAATTTTAGTGAAAGTTGTGGTAGTGATTGGAAGCCATTGCAACGTGGCAATCAATGAAAAGAAAATTTACATTAATTCATAAAGTGGTAATTTATTTTCTAGCACCCATTCGATGACACATCTGTTGGACTGTTAGTCTATGGAAAGCCGTTCTCGTCAAAACTATGTTTAAACCATTTTTCGAAAAATTTACACACTGAGAATTAAAAAAAAAACACACTGAGATTGAAAAACCTAAAAACACACACTGAGAATTGAAAATTACACAATGAGATTTCCAAAAGACACACTGAGATGAAATAAACTGAAAAACACACACTGAGAATTTATAAAATTACACACTGAGATTTGTGCGCACTTTTTATGCGCACATATCTAATTAGCATAATCAATCTGAATCTATTACAAGCTTAAAACAATTAGGGGACAGAACTCTTTAGTCCTTCAATTTGGCGCTAAATATTTTATAAAAAACATTAATAATACAACGTATAGAAAAACTACGT